GAAAGAGACCGGGCTTCCTGGCCGGAAACAGGCAGGTGGGACCCCTGAGACTATGGGCCTTACTCACCCCCCCACGCCCCCATGGCTCCATTTTTATCCCATCCACAGACCGAAGCCTGTAAGGGGAACAATAACATTAGAAATGGTGGCAGTTACATAACTTCAAGTCAACTTGAAGCTAGTTCAAGGTTAGGGTCCTTATGGGTGGGGTCTTCTCCTAAGGAGGGTCCTGGGACCTTCCCCCTCTCTCTCTGACTTTAACTTCCCGGGGACAGCCATACGGACACCTGCCAGGGCCACCACCATTGGGTCCACAGGACTTCGCACCCACCGCCCTGTGATCTTCTGATGTGTCTACGTGAGTCTGAGGAAGGATTCGTGGAGTAATATCAGACGTGTGACCTTGCTTTAGACCAGGCTGGGGTGGGTTCCTGAGAAATAGAGCTTCTTGATCGAAAGCTCTCTTACACACGGATGCTTCTCCAGTCCACCTGGCCTAGCACAGTGGTGCCCACACCCCTCAGAACAGCGATTCTCAACCTGCAGGTTGCGAGCCCTTTGGGGGTCAAACGACCCTTTCACAAGGGTCGCCTCAGACCATACTTCTAATGGTCTTAGGAACCGAGACACCGCCCCTCTATCCGTCTCCAGGAGGGTCTGCCCACATGCAGATACGCCCACCTCCGGGGTCACCACCACGTGAGGAACTGTATTCAAGGGTTGCGGCATTAGGAAGGTGGAGAACCCATTTGGGATCAAGGGGGCAGCCTTTACCCATGGACGGAGTTCAGAGGGTGAGGACAGGAGGGCCGGAAACAGGAAACACAGAAGGAAGTGGAAGGAGGGATGGCCCACGGGGTGGGGGTCGGGGAGGGGGTGGCCATGGATGGGTTGAAACAAGGATGTGTGCGTGGACGAAGGTCAAGCTGATTGCTCTGTAAACCGGCTCACACGAGAATGCACAGTTAAAAGGATTGTTTTGTTTTGTTTTTTAAGTTAAGATACATTTTACAGCAACAGTCACTGGATTAGTGGCTCCCTGGGGGTAGGGTAGGGCGATGGGGGGGGGAGGTAAGGAGTTAAAAGTGAGGAGTACAAGGATGAAGAAAATGCTCTAGAACGCTGTCTAGAACAACATAGATCTGTGCTGTCCAATAGACCGGGGGAGACGATCCCGTCTAGAAAGGTCTAGCTCTAGGCTGTGCAATAGGGTCGTCAGCCCCTGGTCCAGAACCCAATAAGGGAGACCCAAGAAGGATGGATGCATTTGGACATTGGGAAGAATATTGAAAGTACCATGGGCCCCAAAAGAACCAACAAATCTGGCTCGGAAGAAGTCCAGCCAGAGTGCTCCCTAGAGACAAGGAGGGCGAGATTTCATCTCAAGAACTGTGGACATGTTGTCGGGAGAGATCAGAGATCCGATGATGAAGGACAGGGAAAACGAGGAAGGCCACTGAAGAGGTGAATTGACACTGTGGCTGCCAAGGGTCACCCTTACACTCCCTCTTACATCCCCTTACATCCCCTGGGGGGTGGGATGGGGATGCACCAAAAGCTGCAGCCCCCAGGACTTGCCACTGTGGCCATATGTGGACACAGGGCCTTGACTCCCCTAGATGCACTCACTGCTGTACAACCCATTCTGACTTGCTGTGGCCTTACAGGACAGCGTAGCACTGCCCCTGTGGCTCCCAAGACTCCAGCCAACGGCTCTGGGGAATAGAGAACCCCGCCTTCCTCCCGCCAGGCAACTGTTGCTTCTGGGCCGCTCACCTTGCAACA